ACTACTACATGTATGATGTATACTTACTAGGGTTACAATCTGATAACAGTGAACATATAGATAGTAATACTTTTGAGATGGTCAATGCTGGGCTCCAGTTGTCTTTTAATATATCCAGACATATCACACCTTGACTATTAATATTACAGTGATATATACGTGTCCTAAATGTCACCTACAGATAGAGGCATTTGGAAATACAACTGTGTTATGTTGAGTAGAAAATTTGACTTTTGAATTCATTGAAACACTACACAGTAGAATGGGGAATAAAACTGGTTTGCACCACTTGTGTATGGTACAGTCTTTCTAATTGGTTGATGTACATGCATAATTTGCTATACTACAACCTTTCTAATTGGTTGATGGACATGCATAATTTGCTATACTACAACCTTTCTAATTGGTTAACGAACATGCTTAATTTGCTATACTACAACCTTTCTAATTGGTTAACGAACATGCTTAATTTGCTATACTACAAAGTTTTTAATTGGTTGAAGTTACTTTCCATACCTTAGGTGGTTTAAATGGATAATCTGGCGAAAAATGTATATCCAGGAAAAAGACGCCTCCTTCATATACTGATCCGGGTGGCCCTAATATAGTAGATACCCATTCATACATATTATCTCCTTTGGGTCCAGCACTGAAAACAATAATAGATAGTATTAATTTCAGTCATACACTTTTATAGTACAGTACAGTTCTCGCAGAAGCTTTGGCTTCACTTCAGCTTCACCTTCGCTTCAGCATCGCATCATTATGGCATTGTTATGGCTTCAGCATCGCTTCAATGTCGCGACATTAAAAAGTTAGAAGATTATCGCTTCGCTTCATTGTGGCCTCATTATGGCGACAATGTGGCATCAGCATTGCTTCATCAAACAAAGAAGTACTGTACTCATTTCCCCCAAACCTCTTGACCGCTTCCGCTTTTGACCGGTCAATTTCCGTTTTATTTTCGACCGTTCAAAAATTCGGACTACTAAAAATTTTCTGGTTTTCATAGACCACGGTTACTAGTTTAGTAACCGTGCATAGATGTTGAACAACCGTCAAAAGTTCAAATACATTTTGTTTTAATTATCTATAATTATATGCACGCAATCTGACCCTTTGACCTAGATTTGGCTGGGATTGACTATTTTATTTTAAGCAATATTCTGACGTGACGCACTGCTACAAAATGTATTTCAACAGAAGTACGACATGGTTGTCCGGGTTTCTTTTCCTGAATGTGTTGAGTTTACGATTTGTATAATTATTGTTATTTCCCCCA